ACGTTTTAGTTTATTTGGTGCCTCAAATTGTCTGTCACGTGATAAACTCGTTCGCATCACTTACATGCGAAAGAATTTTAATTATCTTATATCATACAAATATATATTACATTGATGGAACAAAGAGTCGTACGTCTGACACCTTCGCATAGACCTGGACCGACGACAGCCAATCAGAAGGCAGCTTTGCATCTCACCTGGGCGGCCGGGAGCGGCCGTCAAATTTTCGAGAGTTTCCCTTGAATTTTTAATTAACGGACAAGAATGGCAACTCGATTTCCATGACATCCACAGGATTGACGAATGGCAGCCAACGGGAATTCAATCATGGAGATTGCGATCAGCAGGCCTTGCTGGTCGCATGCGCGACTCAATACAACGCAATGTCTTCTATTTACACACAAATTCTCCAATAAGAGAAACATGTGAACCATGTACATCAATATCATCAATAAATTGAGGATATGTCGAAATACATTCGCGTTTATTTCACAACATACGTAGTGATTTTGAGACCATTTATGCATTGATGTAAACTGTACATAGGAAGCGAAACTATTAATCTTGAACAAAAAAACTTATATCTTCTTCTTCCGAACATAACCATGAACACTTTCAGTGATGCCGGTGCCGCCGTTATCAGTGATGCCGGTATCAGGGATGCCGGTATCAGTGATGCCGGTACAGGTAGTGCCGGTGCCACCGGTATCAGTGACGCCGGTATCAGTGATGCCGGTATCAGTGACGTCGGTATCAGTGATGCCGGTATAGGTAGTGCCTGTACCGCCGGTATCAGTGATGCCGGTATCAGGGATGCCGGTGCCACCGGTATCAGTGACGCCGGTATCAGTGATGCAGGCAATTTATCGGGATCACGATACGGCGGCGGAAGCGCCGGCGACGAAGCAAGTGAAGGCGAAATCCCGAAGTTTAAAAAAATAAAAAATAAATAAATCTTTCATAAAATACGGGGTCATGTGATACTTTATAATTATTTTAATTATAGAATTTTCAACAGAGTATTGGGTGGTAAATGAAGGTCTAAACGTTTATTTATTTTCTCGTCTCACGCACACACAACATCCTCGTCTCACACACACACAACATCCTCGTCTTACGCACACAACATCCTCGTCTCACGCACACAACATCCTCGTCTCACACACACACAACATCCTCGTCTCACGCACACANTGATAATCATTAAGCTGGTGACGATGATAATCATTAAGCTGGTGACGATGATAATCATTAAGCTGGTGACGATGATAATCATTAAGCTGGTGACGATGATAATCATTAAGCTGGTGACGATGATAATCATTAAGCTGGTGACGATGATAATCATTAAGCTGGTGACGATGATAATCATTAAGCTGGTGACGATGATAATCATTAAGCTGGTGACGATGATAATCATTAAGCTGGTGACGATGATAATCATTAAGCTGGTGACGATGATAATCATTAAGCTGGTGACGATGATAATCATTAAGCTGGTGACGATGATAATCATTAAGCTGGTGACGATGATAATCATTAAGCTGGTGACGATGATAATCATTAAGCTGGTGACGATGATAATCATTAAGCTGGTGACGATGATAATCATTAAGCTGGTGACGATGATAATCATTAAGCTGGTGACGATGATAATCATTAAGCTGGTGACGATGATAATCATTAAGCTGGTGACGATGATAATCATTAAGCTGGTGACGATGATAATCATTAAGCTGGTGACGATGATAATCATTAAGCTGGTGACGATGATAATCATTAAGCTGGTGACGATGATAATCATTAAGCTGGTGACGATGATAATCATTAAGCTGGTGACGATGATAATCATTAAGCTGGTGACGATGATAATCATTAAGCTGGTGACGATGATAATCATTAAGCTGGTGACGATGATAATCATTAAGCTGGTGACGATGATAATCATTAAGCTGGTGACGATGATAATCATTAAGCTGGTGACGATGATAATCATTAAGCTGGTGACGATGATAATCATTAAGCTGGTGACGATGATAATCATTAAGCTGGTGACGATGATAATCATTAAGCTGGTGACGATGATAATCATTAAGCTGGTGACGATGATAATCATTAAGCTGGTGACGATGATAATCATTAAGCTGGTGACGATGATAATCATTAAGCTGGTGACGATGATAATCATTAAGCTGGTGACGATGATAATCATTAAGCTGGTGACGATGATAATCATTAAGCTGGTGACGATGATAATCATTAAGCTGGTGACGATGATAATCATTAAGCTGGTGACGATGATAATCATTAAGCTGGTGACGATGATAATCATTAAGCTGGTGACGATGATAATCATTAAGCTGGTGACGATGATAATCATTAAGCTGGTGACGATGATAATCATTAAGCTGGTGACGATGATAATCATTAAGCTGGTGACGATGATAATCATTAAGCTGGTGACGATGATAATCATTAAGCTGGTGACGATGATAATCATTAAGCTGGTGACGATGATAATCATTAAGCTGGTGACGATGATAATCATTAAGCTGGTGACGATGATAATCATTAAGCTGGTGACGATGATAATCATTAAGCTGGTGACGATGATAATCATTAAGCTGGTGACGATGATAATCATTAAGCTGGTGACGATGATAATCATTAAGCTGGTGACGATGATAATCATTAAGCTGGTGACGATGATAATCATTAAGCTGGTGACGATGATAATCATTAAGCTGGTGACGATGATAATCATTAAGCTGGTGACGATGATAATCATTAAGCTGGTGACGATGATAATCATTAAGCTGGTGACGATGATAATCATTAAGCTGGTGACGATGATAATCATTAAGCTGGTGACGATGATAATCATTAAGCTGGTGACGATGATAATCATTAAGCTGGTGACGATGATAATCATTAAGCTGGTGACGATGATAATCATTAAGCTGGTGACGATGATAATCATTAAGCTGGTGACGATGATAATCATTAAGCTGGTGACGATGATAATCATTAAGCTGGTGACGATGATAATCATTAAGCTGGTGACGATGATAATCATTAAGCTGGTGACGATGATAATCATTAAGCTGGTGACGATGATAATCATTAAGCTGGTGACGATGATAATCATTAAGCTGGTGACGATGATAATCATTAAGCTGGTGACGATGATAATCATTAAGCTGGTGACGATGATAATCATTAAGCTGGTGACGATGATAATCATTAAGCTGGTGACGATGATAATCATTAAGCTGGTGACGATGATAATCATTAAGCTGGTGACGATGATAATCATTAAGCTGGTGACGATGATAATCATTAAGCTGGTGACGATGATAATCATTAAGCTGGTGACGATGATAATCATTAAGCTGGTGACGATGATAATCATTAAGCTGGTGACGATGATAATCATTAGGCTGGTGACGATGATAATCATTAGGCTGGTGACGATGATAATCATTAAGTAAGTGACGATGGTGACGTCTTGCTGAGGTCTGAGACCACGCAGCGGATTTTGATTTGAACGAAAACCTGTTTTGTGAGCAACGGCGGTGCTTTGCACTGTACGCTGTGCACTGTACGCTGTGCACTGTACGTTGTGCACTGTACGCTGTGCACTGTACGCTGTGCACTTTAGACTGCCATTTTCGGGCGATACAAGAGTTCTGATGAGGATGACAGAGGACCTAGCCTGCGACAGGTCACAGGATGACTTGTCGACAATCTACGATTGGGCCCTAGCGAACAATATGCAATTCAACAGTACTAAGTTTGAAGAAATTAGATATAGAATTAGTACTGAAGTAGGAATGCAGCATCGCTACTTGGCATCGGACCGTATAAAAATCGAGGAGCAGCAACTTGTTCGTATCTCGAAGTGCTAATGAGTACTCAAGCTTTGTTTGATGACCACATCGCGGCAGTGGCTGCAAAAGTCAGACAAAAGATTGGTGGAACTGGTAGAAATTTCGAATCAGCCAATCACTACACTCTTCAGAGCCCTCGTGCTCCCTGTTCTGGAGTACTGCTGCCAGCTTTGGGCGCCGCTCAAGGCTGACGCGGGCGGCAATTTGGGCAGCCCAACGGACCTTCGCGGCCAGGATTAGCGGAAAAAGGGAGCTGGAACAGGACTACCGGAGGAAGTTGAAACACAAGGGACTGTTCTCACTGGAGAGTAGAAGAGAGAGATATATCATACTGCACACTCTGAAGAAGATAATCGGACAGGTTCTCAACCTTGAGAGTGTGACTGTCAAATTAGTGATAGCATAACGGAAGGAGGAGGATATTGTGCAGTATACCTCCATTTAGCAACCGAGCAGCGGTAGAGTTCATAATCTACGGGAGGGATCCCATTCCGTGAAGAGACTGAGGCTCTTTAATGCCCTGCCTATATAAGGATCTAACAGGAGGCGAGTTCTCCCTCTCGAAATTCAAGAGACGACTAGATGTGTTTCTTAGCAAGGTCCCTGATTGTCCGCTTATGCCCCACTACCCTCGGCAAGTAGCAAGCAACAGTATTCTGAATCTGCTTGCTTAATCTGAAGCAGATGTACGGTGGTCACGGTCAACGTTAACACTGAACTTCGGTGGCGACACGTAATGCCTATCGAAGGCTTGGGGAAGGTAGACGACGAAGGCGGTGCATAAGCATGACCGTATACAAGGCAGTCCTAAACTTGACTTAAGTACTGAGCACAATACGCTGTGGACTGTACGGTACTCCTACTCCATGAGAGAGCTTCTGGAAGGGAAAGCGTAACAAGCCATAACAGCATCGTAACTTATCGTAACACACCGAATCGGCGACGTATCGCGCGGAGTAAGACACCGTAACAGCATCTTCATGGACCGTAACACAACGTAACGGGGTCGGCAGGCACCGTAACACAAAGTAGCGTTCTCGTAACTCAATTTAACACAATGCAACGGCATCGTAAAGGATCGTAACGACACCGTTACCGTGACTTGCACAAATGCGAAACAAAGGCGCGACCGCGCAAAAATCCCGCGATTTGAGGCAAGAAAAAAAAAATTGCGTCAGGAGGTCCATCACCGGCGCTGCATTGCCGCCCCTCCTGTCCCTCCTGCCCCTCCTGCTCCCTCCTGTTCTTCCTGCCCCTCTTTCTCCTTCCGCTCCTCCTGTCTCTCCTGCCCCTCCCGCCTCTCCCGCTTCTCCTGCCTCTCCCGCTCCACCTGCTCCTCCTGCCTGTCCCGCTCCTCCTGCTCCTCCTGCCTCTCCCTCTCCTCCTGCCTCTCCGGTAACTCCTACCCCTTCTTTTCCTCCTTATCCACCTGCCCTTCCTATCTCTCCTGTTCATCCTGCCCATCCTCTACCTCCTGCCTCTCCTGTACCTCCTACACCTCCTGTATCTCATGCTCTCCCTGCCCCTCACCACCACATCACCGCCACATCACCACCACATCACCACCACATCACCGCCACATCACCGCCACATCACCACCACATCACCACCACATCACTCAGCTATCAAAGCTCGCCGCAGAATACCTGAATTTCTCATTCACACTTACGGAAATTTATTCATCATTTCCACGCAATCATTTGGCAGTAATTCACGTTTTTGCAGCACCGTTTTTTTCACCGCGAGCCTTCGACGGGCCGCTAATGAGACGCTGAACACGACCCATCCCTCCTATACTCATCCCTCCTATACTCATCCCTCCTATACTCATCCCTCCTATACTCATCCCTCCTATACTCATCCCTCCTATACTCATCCCTCCTATACTCATCCCTCCTATACTCATCCCTCCTATACTCATCCCTCCTATACTCATCCCTCCTATACTCATCCCTCCTATACTCATCCCTCCTATACTCATCCCTCCTATACTCATCCCTCCTATACTCATCCCTCCTATACTCATCCCTCCTATACTCATCCCTCCTATACTCATCCCTCCTATACTCATCCCTCCTATACTCATCCCTCCTATACTCATCCCTCCNGACTAGTGAACCTGCAGGACTAGTGAACCTGCAGGACAAGTGAACCTGCAGGACTAGTGAACCTGCAGGACTAGTGAACCTGCAGGACAGGTTCACCTAGCGCCTGGCGACGCAAGTATCAGGTTACAGGTCACCGTCACTGTGTGTGGTCAGTGCCCAGTGCATTGAATTATATAACAAGTGAACTGAAGTGAATGTAATATAATTTAATATAATTTTTATATAATTTATAATTTAATTATATAACTATATATTATAATTATAATTATATTATATTTTAATTATATAACCCAGTGAATTAAATGCAAAGGCATAACGGCATGAATTATAACGGCATGATTTGTAACGGCATGAAAATTATAACGGCATGCATTATAACGACATGAATTGTAACGACATGAATTATAACGACATGAATTATAACGGCATGAATTATAACGGCATGAATTATAACGGCATGAATTATAACGGCATGAATTGTAACGGCATGAATTGTAACGAAATGAATTGTAACGGCATGAATTATAACGGCATGAATTGTAACGGCATGAATTATAACGGCATGAATTGTAACGGCATGAATTATAACGGCATGAATTGTAACGGCATGAATTATAACGGCATGAATTGTAACGGCATGAATTATAACGGCATGAATTGTAACGGCATGAATTATAACGGCATGAATTGTAACGGCATGAATTATAACGGCATGAATTGTAACGGCATGAATTATAACGGCATGAATTGTAACGGCATGAATTATAACGGCATGAATTGTAACGGCATGAATTATAACGGCATGAATTGTAACGGCATGAATTATAACGGCATGAATTGTAACGGCATGAATTATAACGGCATGAATTGTAACGGCATGAATTATAACGGCATGAATTGTAACGGCATGAATTATAACGGCATGAATTGTAACGGCATGAATTATAACGGCATGAATTGTAACGGCATGAATTATAACGGCATGAATTGTAACGGCATGAATTATAACGGCATGAATTGTAACGGCATGAATTATAACGGCATGAATTGTAACGGCATGAATTATAACGGCATGAATTGTAACGGCATGAATTATAACGGCATGAATTGTAACGGCATGAATTATAACGGCATGAATTGTAACGGCATGAATTATAACGGCATGAATTATAACGGCATGAATTATAACGGCATGAATTATAACGACATGAATTATAACGGCATGAATTGTAACGGCATGAATTATAACGACATGAATTGTAACTAACAGCATTAATTATAACGGCATGAACCATTATGGGATGAATTAACATAGTCATATTTAAAAAAAATAATAATTTAAATAACACGGCAAAAAACTTCCCTTCCGCCCTCAAAGTTGCCATAACCATAAATACTCATAAAACTAATGGATAGTAATTGTCTCAAAATAAAGATTTTTTAAGACAGTTATCGCCAGGCAAGACATGAATAAAGACTTTAACCGCTAGTCCTTTATAGGCCTTTTTGCATTCATTAATAAGGGCAATTTATGATAATTTAGCAGACCATTTATGATAATTTGTCCGTGGCAATTACTACCTGTGGTGCCGTGCGCAGTGGCGCGCAGCGCGCACTACGCCATGGCATGATGGCATGTATACTACGCCATGGCATGATGGCATGTATACTACGCCAATAACGCCTTCGTCTTCCCGCCACACTCGAAATGCTACTCATAACCAGGTGTCAGTTCACCCTCCCTGTGCTATTCGTACCAAGAGCGTTTAACTCATCGGGCGACGGAAGGTAAATTCCGATCATCGATTAATTATTCGCCGGCATAAAAAAAGCGCTTAATTCAAATGGAAAATTTCCACAGTGCGCGTGACGCGCATGCAGAGTGTACGCTGATCTAAATACCGCGGCGCACACTGCGCCACAGACTGCGCCACGCTGTGGCTGTGGCGCAGAGGCCGCGGCTGGAGGGCTGTGGCGCGGTGGCCGCGGCTGGAGGGCTGTGGCGTGGTGGCCGCGGCTGGAGGGCTGTGGCGTGGTGGCCGCGGCTGNTTCGCCGGCATAAAAAAAGCGCTTAATTCAAATGGAAAATTTCCACAGTGCGCGTGACGCGCATGCAGAGTGTACGCTGATCTAAATACCGCGGCGCACACTGCGCCACAGACTGCGCCACGCTGTGGCTGTGGCGCAGAGGCCGCGGCTGGAGGGCTGTGGCGCGGTGGCCGCGGCTGGAGGGCTGTGGCGTGGTGGCCGCGGCTGGAGGGCTGTGGCGTGGTGGCCGCGGCTGGAGGGCTGTGGCGCGGTGGCAGCGGCAGGAGGGCTGTGGCGTGGTGGCCGCGGCTGGAGGACTGTGGCGTGGTGGCCGCGGGTGGAGGACTGTGGCGTGGTGGCCGCGGGTGGAGAACTGTGGCGTGGTGGCCGCGGCTGGAGAACTATGGCGTGGCGGTCTGAGGTCAGCGGCGTCTGTGGCGTAATTGTGGCTCGATTGCGTTGCGTGTCACTGGCTTTGTCGGCCAATTAGCGATTGGCCGCGAGGCTTAGTTCCGGCCAATCAGCAAGTCACGCTCCCAGCGCTGCAGAAATCTCATGAGAAATGCCATGGGAAATTCGCTGCGGTGAACGACTGGTCCGTATTGGCACGTTACGGGCGCTAATATCCCGTTACGGGGCGTTCCGGTACTGGTCGGTATTCTCCCGTTACGGGTCAGATCTGTATTGGCACGTTACGGGACGTTAATATCCCGTTACGGGACGTTAATATCCCGTTCAGGGACAGATCGGTATTGGCCCGTTACGGGACGTTAATATCCCGTTACGGGACGTTAATATCCCGTTCAGGGACAGATCGGTATTGGCCCGTTACGGGACGTTAATATCCCGTTACGGGACGTTAATATCCCGTTAAGGGACAGATCGGTATTGGCCCGTTACGGGACGTTAATATCCCGTTACGGGACAGATCGGTTTTGGCCCGTTACGGGACGTTAATATCCCGTTACGGGACGTTAATATCCCGTTAAGGGACAGATCGGTATTGGCCCGTTACGTGACGTTAATATCCCGTTACGGAGATCGTTGGTTTTCGTTGATATTGGCCCGTTCCGGTAGGTGTTGGCCCCACTGGCATGGTGGCCCAGTGGTTACGGTTCAGAGTACCAGGATTGGAGCAGTGAGGTGCGGGTTCGAGCCCAGCTATCTACGACACTACGACAGATTCTGGTCAGAATCGGCGAGAAGGCCGGGCGGTTAAGCACGGCAAAATTACAGCAGTGATTGAGTTGCGTGTTCGAGACCGCAACGAGCTGTGAATGTTATGCGACCTTAAGAATAGACGACAGGCCTACGGCTTAATGAACGCTAAAACCGCTATTATAATTACTATTATTATTATTATTACAATTTTTATTATAATAATATTAATATTATTATTAATATCAATATTAATTATTATACGGTTCACTCTACACGGTTCACTCTACATGGTTCACTCTACACGGTTCACTCTACACGGTAAATTTTTCATATGGTAGCGGCAATCAAGCTGATGAATAATGAGAGTTAAACGAATTTTTTCACAATGGAAGAATTTCATTATTTTTTTATACTTAAGGGGTAAATAAAAATATATATAGAAAAATAAAAATATATAATTAGAGGTTCATTTTACGAGCTGCGCGCAGAGGCTTGGCCTGTGTAATTACAGTGTCCTGGAATTGCCCAAATTTACGATGAATTTTGCTACAAATTTACGATGAATTTTGCTACAAATTTACGATGAATTTAGATCACGACAACATAGAAATTCCAGCAGAGTTATTATTTAGCATTCATTTACTTTAAGCATAGAATTCGATGTGAAAATGTCGGCTGATGCAGAGTACGGAATTTACATTTGACTCTCGTAAACAATATAGAAAAAATAATATTTTGTGGCTTATCAATTAAATCTGTATGTAGAAATTTGATATCTAAATCTCTATATTTGATCTGATCCAAGCCTCAGATCCATACTTTAACTTCCTAAAATCCTCTCTTCCCTTTCCTCCAATCCTTCCCTTTAATCCTTACTTCCCTTTCCTCCAACCCTTTCATCCCTTTACTCTCTTCCCTTTCCTCGGTTCAAAACAAAGGAAAAATTACACAGAACAAAAACAAATTAATGAAGAAGGCAAAATTACAGAAAACAAAGGTCGAATTAAGAAGAACAAAGGCCACATTAGGAAGAAAAAAAGCCAAATTAAGGAGAACAAAGACCATATTAGAAAGAACAAGAACAAATTAAAGAGAACAAAAGCCAAATTAAAGAGAACAAAAGCCATATTAAAGAGAACAAAGGCCATATCAAAGAGAACAAAGGCTAATCTCAAGAGGCCGCGTTTACAACCCACAAAGACACTCGAGGCGCTTCATCGCCGCTGTTCACGCCTCGTTGACTTCACGACCTCAATTCAACCCTAGAAACAACCCCTGAGCTCAACCCTGAACTCAACCCTAGAAACAATCCCTGAGCTCAACCCTGAGCTCAACCCTAGGCGCATCATTGAGCGCAAACTTGAGCTCAGTCCTTAAGTTCAACCTGAGCTGAACTTTCAACTCACCTCAGAACTCGTCCCTGAGCTCAAACCTTAGCTCAACCCTTAGATCACCCCTGAGCTCACCTCGAAGCTCAACCCTTAGATCACCCCTGAGCTCACCCCGAAGCTCACCCTTGAGCTCACCCCTTATCTCAACCCTAAGCTCATCCCTGAGCTCACCCTTGAGCTACCCACTGAGCTCACCCCTGACAAAGTGAACCCACTGAACCCACTGAACCACCGTCAGCAGTGACAGTCGGTGCACGACTTTTATTTAAACAGACAAGTTAATGTGATTAAAATAATTACCCCCCAACCATTTAGGGTAACGGCCGGGGGAGCGGCGGGGGTAATTGCATGATTAGACCTCGCGTTCGATGTGGCGGTGTGGCGGGACACGCCGCCACGTCGTCCACGGCCACATCGTCCACCGCCACATCGTCCACCGCCACATCGTCCACCGCCACAATTACAAGCCGCAATAGCGCCGACAATCATGCAATCAGTCGGCAGGCAATCTCAGGTCCCCGCAATCACGACGCTCCGCTCATCTCAGCGCGACAATCTGCGCAGATTGCGCGCGAAAATACGAAATTGCGGTGAAAAAAATTCATAAAATTACAAAATTAATTCGAAAAAATTAAAAAAAAGTTAAAAAGAGGACAAGAGAGCATTAAATTGCGCGTCAAGTCTACGCGCGTTGGAAGTGAAAGGGGTGAAGGGCTGAAAGGGGTGTAGGGGTGAAAGGGGTGTAGGGGTGTAGGGGTGGAAGGGGTCGTAGGGGGTGAAAGGGTCGTTGGGGGTGAAAGGGTCGTAGGGATGAATGGGTCGTAGGGGTGAAGGGGTCGTAGGAGGTGAAGGGGTCGTAGGAGGTGAAGGGGTCGTAAGAGGTGAAGAAGTCGTAGGGTGGAAGGGGTCGTAGGGGGTGAAGGGGTCGTAAGGGGTGAAAGGGTCGTAGGGGTCGTAGGGAGTGAAAGGGTCGTAGGGGGTGAAGAAGTCGTAGGAGGTAAAGGGTCGTAGGGGTTGAAGGGATCGTAGGGGGTGAAAGGGTCGTAGGGGGTGAAGGGGTCGTAGGAGGTAAAGGGTCGTAAGGGTTGAAGGGGTCGTAGGTGGTGAAAGGTCGTAGGGGTTGAAGGGGTCGTAGGAGGTAAAGGGTCGTAGGGGTTGAAGCTGTCTCTTATACACATCTAGATGTGTATAAGAGACAGAATTGTAACGGCATGAATTGTAGCATGAATTATAACGGCATGAATTGTAACGGCATGAATTATAACGGCATGAATTATTATGGCATGAATTGTAACGACATGAATTACAACATCATGAATTATAACGGCATGAATTGTAACGGCATGAATTGTAGCATGAATTATAACGGCATGAATTGTAACGGCATGAATTATAACGGCATGAATTATTATGGCATGAATTGTAACGACATGAATTACAACATCATGAATTATAACGGCATGAATTGNGTTGAAAGGGTCGTAGGGGGTGAAAGGGTCGTAGGGGGTGAAGGGATCGTAGGAGGTGAAGGGGTCGTAGGGGGTGAAGAGGTCGTAGGGGTTGAAGCGGTCGTAGGGGGTTAAAGGGTCGTAGGGGCTGAAAGGGTCGTAGGGGTTGAAGGGGTCGTAGGGGGTTAAAGGGTCGTAGGGGATGAAAGGGTCGTAGGGGGTGAAAGGGTCGTAGGGGG